GGAGCGGTGCAGTACGCACGTGTTTGTCCACCTATGTATATATGTCTTAGATATAATATGTATATATATTATGTACTACGTGCGCCCGAGTGTGTGCGTGTATATATGTCATAGATATAATATGTATATATATTATGTACTACGTGCGCCCGAGTGTGTGAGTGTATATATGTCATAGATATAATATGTATATACATTATGTACTACGTGCGCCCGAGTGTGTGCGTGTATATATGTCATAGATATAATATGTATATACATTATGTACTACGTGCACCCGAGTGTGCGCGTGTATATATACCATAGATATATGTATGTGTAATATGTACTACGTGCGCCCGAGTGTGCGCGTGCGTCTGTGCGTGCGTGTTAACGTGTGTATATGTGTACATGTGTGTGCGCGCGCGTGTTTGTGGGCGTGCGCATGTATGTGTAGGTATATATGTATTCACTAGTACGTTCCAAATGAGATATAACGCACCTTTATAGTCGTTAGTCAAATAAACTTCAGATAAGTAATTGAAGTTAGTTAGTGAACCATCTACTGTTGCTATGGCGACAGGAAACGCAGCATCTAAAACTCGATCTAATTTCCGTGTCTACACCCGACCCTTGCTCTGTAGTCGCCGGCTCGCGATAGTCGCCTGATTTAGATTTGATTTGGATTTCAGATTGATTTTAGATTGATTTGGATTTCAGATTGATTTTAGATTGATTTACATTAGATAATAATTAGCTGACATTATTGATTTTAGATTGATTTGATTTTAGATTTTGACCGATTAGTCACTTGATTTCAAGTATGAACCCATAACGTTGTTAAGGCACGCGTCTCTGTAAAATGCGGTGAGAAAACCCGTGCGTGCGTGCGTGCATGAGAAAACCCGTTTGTGCTCATCCTTCGTGTAGCGTGCGCCGTGGCGTGTTAGCTTTCGCGATGCCATTAAATTCGGTATCATTCGTTTGTAATCGCTCGTAAACAACGTATGATTGATGAATTGTAAATATAGCAGATGGATAGCGACTATTTCGTGGAAATTCGCATGAGGTTTTTACACAATCATGTACATCTGTGGCTGTCTCGATACCTCCAGGTAGGTCGTCGTCATCGGCGATCCGGGGCGAGGGGGTTATGTAATTCGATCATATAGTGATATTTATTGTTAAAATTTATCGTTGTAGCTTAGTTAATTAATTATTTGCGTTCGGAAAGCGACGTTGGTCCCCAACGATGTTTGCTAATCATTCCAGCACGGAATATTGTCACCTAGGCGGCGCCACTGTAGTCGGTTATGTGGGCGGCCAAGGTAAAGCCGCGTTGTTAAGTTAATCGTCAGTAAGACGACCCATCTGGGGTCCGTGTGCGCACAATTCAGCAAGTATAGAAGTCAATTACTTTATGTCAAGATATATTAATATATCT